AACCATCAAAGTCCCCGTGTGCTGGGAATCGCTCAACAAACTTGTCAGTTGGTTCTATTCCGATCGGTTGCCTGTCCCTGCTTTCGACTGTGTGTGGGATAATACTGCCCCAGAGGATAAACTTCTGCAAGTCCAGTCATATTTGGAGCTTTGTTGGCTTGCTGAGTTTTGGCTCATGGAGGACCTTTATGAAGAATGTCATAATGTAGTCGTGTCTTGCTTAGATTCTTCCAAGTACCTGTCTACCAAATTTATTCAAATTGCTGCTGATTTCTCCCAATGGAAATTGGCTCAAGTGGCAGCTGATCACATGGCGCCTTTGTATCACCATCTACGCAATTCCGGCGAGCTTGATGCACTAAACGACAATCTCATTGAGATGGTACGTGTGGCGTCTGTTAGACTTTCTCGAGAGGGCAGTCTAAACTCCAGTTGACCGGGGAAATTGTAAGGGGAAGGTTCCATTATGTTCTAAACTCGAAAGGGTAAAGTCAGAAAATACTGTACATTGCATGGGAGCTTTCTTATCGGTAGCCAGTAGGTATATATATAGGGAATCTAAAGAAATGGTTGTGCTGTTGTACAGGTTGTACACCTTAAGGATTCACAAGGACTAAGTTGCCAGGTTGTTACTTGTTAGAAAAGAAATAATGCGAGATTATAACAAACTTAGATGATCTGGGAAGTTAAAGCTTACAAGATTTTGTTCTATTCACATTTTTTTTTTTCATATCGTATTTGGTTCGTCTCTCATAGTGGTGCAATGTCGATCACTTTTCCTTGTGGAAAGGGGTTTATTTTGACGAAATTGTGGTATAGTGGGAAAATTCGAGTCATCTACTTCATTGTTTCTGCTATGCACATCGCATTCGAGCCTAGTTAAATTTATAATTAATTAATTTGATTTAATAGCTATTTCTAAAACCCATTGTATTGTGTTTTGGGAACATCCTCATTAATGAGTTTGAGTGTGCTTTGGTCTAGTTATTAGGTTTTTTTTTTTTTTTTTTTTT